CAGGTTTTAAACCAAAGTAACTTTAACTTCAGATGGAAAACACTGCTGACAACAGCTTTCCTTTTTTAATTAAGCTGATCTGAAATGCAGACGACGTAGGTGACTAAGTTCGTTTTTACTGCTTCTATTTAAAAGGCGAAGTAGCCAGGTGCTGCTAATCAGCAGCAGTGATTAACTGATCCTCAGTAAATCTGTGTACAGCAGGAAAACAGATGTTTCTGCAGTTTGCTCCTCTGAGGGATTTAGATATGTGATGACACCTCACTAAGGAAGAAATACATCAATAATGATCTGGGAGAAGCAAATGCTGCTGTCCATCAGTCTGGGAAGAATTGTAAGGCCATTTCTAAATCATTAAATTAAGCAAAAAAGGTAATTTACAAGTGTAAAATATTTAATAGAGCTGCCAGTCTTCTCTAAAGTAACACCCCAGAGACCCTACAAAGCAAATGTTACATCTCTGCAGGTTAAAAGTCCAAGTCCATGGCAGGACCAAACCAAACCCTTAGTCATAAACTTTTAACTAGACCTGCTATAAACTAGTTTCACATTTTGAAACTGCATCAGACAAGTAAATCATTTTACCACACAAACAAAGAGGGGAGCTGCTCAGACCGTCAGTCACCAACACAGAGAAATGCAAACCAGACAACCTCAGGCCAGAATAAATCAAGCAAATAATAAAAGGACCAAAGAATAAAAAAGGTTCTTTGAACTGAAATCTCACAGACTAAAAACATGCATGTTAGGCTGATTGGTAACTCTAAATTGTCTCTAGGTGTGGGTGAGAGAGTGAATGGTTGTTTGTCTCTATGTGTCCCTGTGATGGACTGGAGACCTGTCTGAACAAGAAAAGAACCAGGCTGTTGCAGTGATCCGGTCAACATGAATGCTCATTCGAGGTTTTAACGAGCTGCGCAGAAACAAAGTGTTTATAAATCTCATCGAACTGAAGCAACCATGTAGAGCAGAGTGAGCCCGACATGCTGCTGCTGGATTTTATTAGCATTTTGTTCAATAAATAATGACACAGTGTGATGTTTCGTGTTCATCTGAGGTTGTGATGAATTCATTTTAAAATGAGCAGTGAGCATAATATTTCATCAAACCTTGACAGAGGCTGTGCTTCCTTTTATGTCGTATGAAATGTTTATTTTAACCACCCTGTGAGTCTCTGTACTCCACTGAAGGTTCGGTTCGACAGCATGAGCGTGCAGAAAAACATCTGCAGGAAATGTATTTGAATCGGTGATGCAATGTCAGGTGAAGCAATGGAAACATTTTGAACTGGGAGCAGTGCACAGGTGGATGAGGGCCACATCCTAAATGTTAGTGCGGTGACCAGCTGTGTTGAAGTGTTAATATAATTTACTTCTGGTTGACGGACCGGGTTGAATCTTTCTGAAACGGCATGTTTGCTGAAGACGTTTGACAAGCTGAGGTCAGGACGATGTCACTGAAATGAAATGGGTTTCAACAGCAACATGCATTTTTGAACATCAAACTCATAAACGTGTATTATTTTACATTTTTAAACACTTTTTAGTAAATGTTTCTTCATGCTGGGCCCTTCGCTCTTCATGACTTCTGCTGTTTTTAAATGTGCTTTAAAAATGCCATGCCACACGTTGATGCTGGAGCACAGGATGCTCTCCACTGCACACCTGTAGAAGGAGGTGAGGACTGAGCTTCCCAGACCAGCTCGTCTCAGCCGTCTGAGGAAGTAGAGTCTCTGATGAGCTTTCTTGATCAGGCTGGTGGTGTTGTTGCTCCAGCTGAGGTTGTCTTTCAGGTGCACACCCAAGTACTGAGACCACTTCCACCACAGATCCTCCTATGTTCAGGAGGGCGGGGGTGTAAGTGTGTTTACTCCATCTGAAATCCACAGTCTTCTCCTTCATCTTCTTCACATTGAGAAGGGACAGCTGACAGCCATACATTCTTGCAGGTTACATCGGACCTGAGCTGGTCTCTCAACACCAAGCCACGGTGAACAAACAGCACCGTTGAAGAAGAGCAGCAAGAATCATCAAGGGCTCACTATCACACAACAAATGTTCATATAACCTGAGACACAGTAGAGCAGATAGCATCATCACCCATAGGACAAGGTTTTTTTTTTCCTGCCACAGTCAGACTGATGGCAAAACAAAACTACTGATCAGGTGCCATAATAACCCTGTACCTAACTCCACTTGTCATGTGACGTGGTGTACTGTCTGTACACTGTAGATAGAAACCACTTTGTTCTGTTTTTATTTCATTTAGTGTTGTTTCAGAGTTTTTTATTTAATTATGACTGAGAGCTCTGCCCAGTAATTCCAACGTGTCTTGATTGTTGGTCATGTGCACAAATGGCAACTAACTAACTTTGTACCTTTGCATTTGTAACAAGTCTAAGAGCAGCTTTAGCTTCAGTCTTTTCATTTAGAGTAATGCAGGCTGAGGTTTTTTGTGCGTCTTTCAGCGGAATCAGTCTCGTATTCCTCCTGAATCCATCCTGCATGGATGCAAACGATTAACTTATGGTTTGATTTTCATTCAGACAAACTAATGTGCTAAACCTCAAGAAGCTCGTTCTCTTGGAAATGACTCAAGTAAACTCATATCCAGTTGTGATGATGGAAATGAAACAATATGAAACAATCATTTCATTCCTATTGTTTTCTTGGTTAAACAAAAAATCTAATGTTTGGGTTTGTATTGTGGAAATATGTTGATAAACAGATGAGAAAAGATATTCATGAGGTTTACTGAGTGTAAATCATTTTTTGTAAGCCTGACAAAACACATTACATCTGAAATGTCAATATTTTGTCCTTCTTCTGCATCTCTTTGTTATTTCTGATGTATTTTTTTTTTAAAAAACATCTTTCTCTCATTTTTTCCTCCTTTTATTCTCACTAACAAAAAAAGAGCCTGATCTTTAAGATGTTTCATTTGTGCCTTAAAAACAGACAAATGGTCTTCCTCCATTACAACTCTGAACTCCTGTGGTATAAAAAAATGCAGTTGTGTAAACTCAAGTTGTATATTTTATTATTCACTGGTTTTAAATGGTCTTGTCTAAACAATTCTTAGTGCTATTTTTCGAGTATTTTACAGAAATTAGAAAAAATCTGCCAGTTTTATAAAATAAGAGCCATACATGACGAGAGGATTCTGATTTATTCTAATGTATTCTTCTCTATTCTCCTCTCTCATTAATCATTTTGTTACCATTTAGATCAGGTGTCTTGGGATTCACTTTAACTGAACAACTTCATTAGAAATACTTTTTCCTTTTTCTTCTGCGCCTTACAATAACTGAGATTTTTCATCTTTAATGGTATGTTTACAGCTTTTAGTTAAATAATTAAAGCAATTGTTTTACTTATACATGTGGAATGTATACAGGTCTCTCTTGTAAATGAGTCCTCGAGGCTTGATGGGATTAACCTGTATAAATAAAGGTTGCATGAAATGTCGGACAAAAGTTTCAGACCATGTTTTTGATGTTTGGACATTAACAAAACATGGATACAGAAGAATTTCAAGCTGCTAAATGCTTGTGCCCATTGTAGAGGCCAGTGGAACAGATTACCTGTGAAAAACATTGGAACAACAGAGGGAATAATAACATTTAGGCAAAAGTGTGCTCCCTCTAAAGCTGCTGGATCTAACAAGTAAAGAAGAGACATAAATCTTGTTCAAATCAAAGCAGCCTTTTCCTTTAAAACGGGACTTGCAGCAACTTAAATTTGAGCTAGGACATGAGTTATTATGTCCCTTGACAGGATGTTTCTTTATTAGAGCTTGTTTCGATCAAATCAGACTCAAGCAGATGACTCTTCTTTAAAGTGCACATATGCTAGATGTTCAGCAGTAAACTTTTCTGGATTTACAAGGTAGGAACCTCTTGCTGATAAAGTAAAAAGCATTTAACTGAGCATCAAGTTCAGGGACTTAATTGGTGGATTGATTCTCGCCATCAAAAAGTAAAAACAAACAAAGCTTCAGGAAATGAAAACAAATAACGCATAATAAAAAAAAAAAGACAGAAAATTTGGTTCACACATCTGTTTTTATCAATACCAGTGGTGGAAATAGACATTTTGGGTGCTAAAGGTGTGGCATGAAGCTTCAGCAGAGACGTTATGATTTATTGGAAATGGAAACAGATAAACTTTTACCAGCCTCCAAGTTTGATGGTTGGAAGTTGTTTAAACCGTCTCTATTGGTGAGAATTTAGATCAAATTCATTTTGAAATTCAAGAAGCAGGTGTGGCAGCACGGTGGCGCAGTTGATAGAGCTGCTGCCTCTCAGCGAGCAGGTTACCCTGGTTCAAATCCCGGTCCAGGGGCCTTTCTGGGTGGAGTTTGCATGTTCTCTCCGTGCATGCGTGGGTTTTCTCCAGGTACTCCGGTTTCCTCCCACAGACCAAAAACATGCATGTTAGGCTGACTGGTAACTCTAAATTGTCTCTAGATGTGAGTGAGAGAGTGAATGGTTGTTTGTCTCGTTTGTCTCTATGTGTCCCTGTGATGGACTGGAGACCTGTCATGGGTGTCCCCCACCTCTTGCACAGTGATGGCTGGACATGGGCACCAGCGACCCCTGTGACCTGAAAAGGAAGAAGAAGATAATGGATGGATGGATGGATGGATGGAAGAAGGGGGTGTGTGAAATCTACTTCAGTGAATGAGTACAGAGATTTTAAATCCAGGGGAGATGTCCTTGACTTTCAACATTGTACAGAATACTGTATTGAATACTTAAAACTGGAGTGGCAAGATTATTTTCTCCCCTAAAGGTACCCCTGACAAATAAACAAATGTAAAACAAATAAATTAGTCTCTAAAACTTGGTCACGTATCCTGGTTCATGAAAACATTTGATAATTTTAAATTATTTCTAAGAATGCATATTTATTTCAATGTTTTTGTTCAAGAAAGACGGATTGTAATATGTCTGAGTTTTTTCACCTGCACTTGAACGCATCACGGCTCCAACGTACCGCGGTCACGTGACCCGCTTCAGCCAGCCTCGGCTTCGTCTTCTCTTGGACGCCGATGTGGGACGGGTTCCTTCCTGGAAGAAATGGGCTCTGGCAATGCACGAATTTGATCAGTCAGAGATCCGACCAGTTGAGGCTGTGAATGGCGCCAAAACAGGACCCTAAACCCAAGTTTCAAGAAGGTCGGTACCGCCAGCGACACGGATGGTGGCTGCTAGCATGAGGGAGGCGGGTTTGTTGTTGCTGTTTATTGTGCTCCGGAAAGTCTCCAAAACGGGTCAGGGGGTGGACACAGGCATCCAGATGTGCTCAGAGTGGCCCATCATCAGACGTGAATGTTCAAGTGTAACATATTTAGAATAAAAGTGTAGCTGACGTCATGGTCCCCACATTAATGAAGCCGTTTGTTTTTCAGGTGAAAGAGTCCTGTGCTTTCATGGGCCACTGCTCTATGAGGCAAAGGTTGGTTCAATTCACATGTTTCTGTCTGTTTTTATGAATCACTTGAAAAAGTCAGGCGTCACTTGAACAGGTTTGTGTGTTTTTGTCGTTTCGCAGTGTGTCAAAATCAGCATAAAGGAAAAGCAGATTAAATATTTCATTCACTACAGCGGGTGGAACAAAAAGTGAGCAGCTTAGTTTTGATTCACTTCATATTATCATCTGTCTTTCTCACATCTACAGCTTGTAGTGCTGTTTTTGATATGTCATGTGAATACAATGAATGCACTGGTGCTTCAAGGTTTGTGGTGTCTTTTCTTCTGCTGCAGCTGGGATGAATGGGTTCCTGAAAGCAGAGTTCTCAAATATGTGGACAGCAACCTCGCAAAACAAAGAGAGCTTCAAAAGGCCAATCAGTAAGTTTCAGATTTGAAGTGTCGCCCGTATGAAGACGAGGGTCATCGTTTAGGTCAGCCCTAACTGAAGGGAGTCGTTTGTATTTAGTTTTTATGTCAGGCCCTCCGGGATTTTGCTGCTGTATTTGTGATTGTTGCAGTCCTTTTAAATTATATTTTTTGTCCCTCATTGCAGAGCGAAAAGGGTGAATTGGAAATAGTGATAACTTGAAAAACAATCAACGGGCGAACTTCCTTTTTGGTGTGTGGCAACATTTATGTGTAAGAAAGGTTTGTTTCGAAAATTGGGTTGCCACATCAAAACCCAAGATGGCCACCGCCATGTCAATATCTATCTACACACACACACACATTATATATACAGGTCCTTCTCAAAAAATTAGCATATTGTGATAAAGGTCATTATTTTCCATAATGTAATGATAAAAATGAAACTTTCATATATTTCAGATTCATTGCACACCAACTGAAATATTTCAGGTCTTTAATTGTTTTAATACTGATGATTATGGCATACAGCTCATGAAACCCAAAATGCCTGTCCCAAAAAATTAGCATATCATGAAAAGGTTCTCTAAACAAACTATTAACCTAACCATCTGAATCAACGACGTAACTCTAAACACCTGCAAAAGATTCCTGAGGCTTTTAAAAACTCCCAGCCTTGTTCATTACTCAAAACCGCAATCATGGGTAAGACTGCCGACCTGACTGCTGTCCAGAAGGCCATCATTGACACCCTCAAGCAAGAGGGTAAGACACAGAAAGAAATTGCTGAACGAATAGGCTGTTCCCAGAGTGCTGTATCAAGGCACCTCAGTGGGAAGTCTGTGGGAAGGGAAAAGTGTGGCAGGAAACGCTGCACAACGAGAAGAGGTGACCGGACCCTGAGGAGGATTGTGGAGAAGGGCCGATTCCAGACCTTGGGGGACCTGCGGAAGCAGTGGACTTAGTCTGGAGTAGAAACATCCAGAGCCACCGTGCACAGGCGTGTGCAGGAAATGGGCTAAAGGTGCTGCATTCCCCAGGTCAAGCCACTTTTGAACCAGAAACAGCGGCAGAAGCGCCTGACCTGGGCTACAGAGAAGCAGCACTGGACTGTTGCTCAGTGGTCCAAAGTACTTTTTTCAGATGAAAGCAAATTTTGCATGTCATTCAGAAATCAAGGTTCCAGAGTCTGGAGGAAGACTGGGGAGAAGGAAATGCCAAAATGCCAGAAGTCCAGTGTGAAGCACCCACAGTCAGTGATGGTCTGGGGTGCCATGTCATCTGCTGGTGTTGGTCCACTGTGTTTTATCAAGGGCAGGATCAATGCAGCTAGCTATCAGGAGATTTTGGAGCACTTCATGCTTCCATCTGCTGAAAAGCTTTATGGAGATGAAGATTTCATTTTTCAGCACGACCTGGCACCTGCTCACAGTGCCAAAACCACTGGTAAATGGTTTACTGACCATGGTATTACTGTGCTCAGTTGGCCTGCCAACTCTCCTGACCTGAACCCCATAGAGAACCTGTGGGATATTGTGAAGAGAAAGTTGAGAGACGCAAGACCCAACACTCTGGATGAGTTTAAGGCCGCTATCGAAGCATCCTGGGCCTCCATAACACCTCAGCAGTGCCACAGGCTGATTGCCTCCATGCCACGCCACATTGAAGCAGTCATTCATGCAAAAGGATTCCCGACCAAGTATTGAGTGCATAACTGAACATGATTATTTGAAGGTTGGCGTTTTTTGTATTAAAAACACTTGTCTTTCATTGGTGGGATGAAATATGCTAATTTTTTGAGACAGGCATTTTGGGTTTTCATGAGCTGTATGCCATAATCATCAGTATTAAAACAATTAAAGACCTGAAATATTTCAGTTGGTGTGCAATGAATCTGAAATATATGAAAGTTTCATTTTTATCATTACATTATGGAAAATAATGACGTTTATCACAATATGCTAATTTTTTGAGAAGGACCTGTATAATGGACACTCCTATAATTTGAATAAACCATACTTTCTTTTTTTTATTTTTTTATTTTTTTTAAAGTATAGTTTCTTTAAATGATTGGGATGGCCAAGGCCACCATTGGCCACCCCTTGGCTCCACCATTGCACTTGGTGGTGGATATAATTGCTTCCTTAACTCACCAGGATCTGTCACACTGCGCTGCCTCAGACAAGAAAAATTCTTGTCCACAGTGTAGCTCCTAACCAGTTTAAATGGATTTATTCGTCTAACAAGGGAGGACCTGATTCAACCTTGTTAAGATCTATCTACCTGGACTATTGAGCATGCATCAGGATGTTTTTATTGATATTAACAATATTAAGAATAGAAAGCACTTTGTTACTGACACTTTACTGCATCTTGATTGTAAAAAAATCTGGAGCATATTTTGGACAGACCGTATGAAACACTGGCCGCTAAATCTGTACTAACACTTGACCTTGCTAGGTTAGCAAGCAGTAAGTCAATGTCCCCCGTTGCTGAAGGGTTAGAATAGTGAATGTTTGTTGTTTTTGATAGGAGTGTTTTTCTGGACTGGAAATGAACAAGGAATGCACATGAACCTTAATGTTTTTGGTAAAAGTTATTCAACTGGTTAGGTCACACTGAACATGTTACCTTAACTCTAAACTATTGTGTGAACTCAGTTATAGTGTGTATATACTCTGCAGCAAAGCTGTGAGGCCTGTAGTTCACATTTTACGGTGTCGGGCACTCATGTTATTGCTAGTGCCTGTGTTTTCACTTTTTTTTTTTTAGGAATATATAAACTCAACCACTGGATGGGTTTTAATTGTAACTCAATAAGTAATTATTGGATATTTGTCTACTGTGGATTAATGTTAGTCAACTTCATTCAAGATGGCCACCACAGTTTATTGACCTTGGGGTAGTATCTTCATGGGCTGCGATTGTTGGCAGCTCAAAATTGTGAGAAAATTGTTGAACTTTATGTAGAACCGGGAGACTGCAACGAAGCCAAGATCCAACTTGTCTGCTGGATTCCTTAGATAGAGAACTTTACTAATTGGCTTTTATGTGAATGTTTCTTTAAAGTGCCCTGAGACAACTTTGTTGTGATTTGGCGCTACATAAATAAACTGAATTGAACAGTCTTCAAGGCTGTGGACATGATTTCTCTGCCCACATCACACTCACCTCAACCCCAATATTAATTTGATTTGTGTCTAAAGGAATTCCAAGTTTTCAAGTTTTATTTCTCTAACATTTTCCACAAGTATGCAAATGTTTTAATCAAAAGTTTTCAGCAAATGCATCTTGGATGCATCAGACTCGTCCTCACATTTTAGCCACTCTCAACATGTGCTGTGGTGTAAAATTGCTGGTCGGGTGACATTTTTGGCTACGTTCCACCACAGAGCTGCATGTGCTGCAAAACAGTTTTATACCATTTTCATGTCATGCTTCAGGGACTTGATTGGGACACATTTTCACAGTAGTGATTGCTGGCAAATGTGAACTTCTGGCACTGGACGTGTTTTCATCTTGCAGGCTCAGATTTCAGGAGGTGAAACCAGCTAAGGCGATGGGGCACATTTGCAGAAATTGTCAAAATTGCAAGTCTAAGTAAAATTTGTGGGTATTGGTTGAATCTGTGTAGCAACTGGGATGGAATAGAATATAACAGACTTTGTTTTTTGTAGACTTGTGCACGACAAAATTGTGATTTTAAATCTGCGATACAACTTCCTGAAAGGACTGATTTGTTCGTTTTTAGTATAATTTTTTGAATGTACAGTATATGACCTGTTAAAGCTGGGGGAGTTTATGTGTTGTTTCTCACTTGTGTCTTTTCTTTTGCAGGGATCATTATGTTGAGGGAAAGATGAGGGGTTTAGCACCAAGCAAGAAGATTGCTGCTGTGCAGCAGAAAAATGTTGATCTGTAAGTTTTTCAACCTTTTTGTTTTACCTCCTCTGTTTAATCAAACTGATAGACGTCATGGGGTTCTTGAATGTTTGTATATTTATGCTTTGGGAAGTTTATTTAATGGACCTTCATTATCACCAGTAGGTCTTAATGCTTTGTCATATTTTACACGAAGAGTATCAGAAAATGTGGTGAATTCCAGTTTGTCACTTTTTTTTTTTTTTAACTCACGTTAAAATGTTCTCAAGAATTGCCTAAAATGTCTATAAGATGATTGTTTGATGCTTGCAGATTTTAGATGTTTTGACAAATTTCCAGTTGTACAAATTGAGTTTGCTTCATTTTCATGGATTTATTGCCTTTTTTTAAAACAAGAGTTTGTTTTGCACAAAATTACAGAATTTTTTTATTTTTATTTAAAAAAAAAAATGTAACAAGTTTTTTTTGTCAGTTATAAATGCAGTTCTCGTATCACATTTGTTTCATTTTTTTTGTTTTGTTTTATATCACTTCTTTTATATGCATTTCATATGCTTTCATGTGAATTTTTATTGTTGTGTGTATCTCATTTATGTTTTGTTTTTTAAAACAGGTCTCTCTTGAAAATGAGTCCTCGTGACTCAATGAGACTAACCTGTATAAATAAAGGTTGAATGAAAATAAACCTGAAAATATTTACTGTATCTGCTTTCAAAATGTCGTCTGGAATATCTTTTTCTTTCTAGGAAAGTTAAAAAGGCAAAACAGAAAAGTAAGTAAACTTTTTTTTGCCATTACATGTTTGTCCTGTTTTATCACCATTATTGAGACCAATTTGAATATATCATTCAGCTGTTTAAGAGCTGAAACATGTAACAATAACGTGTACTTATAGTAAAAAAAAAAACTGTTGATGAGCTTGTTAAATCAACCCTGACAATTTTTAACTCTTATTACATTACATCATACATACGTGGACAATATAAGTTATAAAAAAATATATCAATAATATCATTGATATAAGCAGAACCACTGGTGCAGTGAAAGTACCAAGAAAATAAACTTGAATGTTATTTAACATGCTATAATTTTTCAAAACATTTTTTAAATGTACAAACCGGATTCCAAAAAAGTTGGGACACTAAATAAATTGTGAATAAAAACTGAATGCAATGATGTGGAGATGGCAAATGTCAATATTTTATTCGTAATATAACATAGATGACAGATTAAAAGTTTAATCTGAGTAAATGTAACATTTTAAAGGAAAAATATGTTGATTCAAAATTTCACAGTGTCAACAAATCCCCAAAAAGTTGGGACAAGTAGCAATAAGTGGCTGGAAAAAGGAAATTGAGCATATAACGAACAGCTGGAAGACCAATTAACACTAATTAGGTCAATTGACAACATGATTGGGTATAAAAAGAGCTTCTCAGGGTGTCAGTGTCTCTCAGAAGCCAAGATGGTAAGAGGATCACCAATTCCACCATTGTTGCATAGAAAGATAGTGCAGCAATACCAGAATGGTGTTACCCAGCGTAAAATAGCAAAGACTTTTAAGTTATCATCATCAACCGTGCATAACATCATCAAAAGATTCAGAGAATCTGGAACAATCGCTGTGCGTAAGGGTCAAGGCCATAAAACTCTACTGGATGCTGGTGATCTCCGGGCCCTTAAACGTCACTGCACCTCAAACAAGAATGCCACTGTCAAGGAAATAACAGAATGGGCTCAGGAATACTTCCAGAAAGCATTGTCAGTGAACACAATCCACCGTGCCATCCGCCGTTGCCAGCTGAAACTCTACAGTGCAAAGAGGAAGCCATTTCTAAGCAAGCTCCACAAGCTCAGACGTTTGCACTGGGCCAGGGGTCATTTAAAATGGAGTGTGGCAAAATGGAAGACTGTTCTGTGGTCAGATGAGTCACGATTTGAAGTTCTTTATGGAACACTGAGACGCCATGTCGTCCAGACCAGAGAGGACAAGGATAGCCCAAGTTGTTATCAACGCTCCATTCAGAAGCCTGCATCACTGATGGTATGGGGTTGCATGAGCGCTTGTGGCATGGGCAGCTTGCATGTCTGGAAAGGCACCATTAATGCAGAGAACTATGTTCAGGTTCTAGAACAACATATGCTCCCATCTAGACGTCATCTCTTTCAGGGAAGACCCTGCATTTTTCAACACGATAATGCCAGACCACATTCTGCAGCAATCACAACATCATGGCTATGTAGGAGAAGGATCCGGGTACTGAAAAGGCCAGCCTGCAGTCCAGATCTTTGATCTATAGAGAACATTTGGTGCTTCATAAAGAGGAAGGTGCGACAAAGAAGGCCCAAGACGATTGAACAGTTAGAGGCCTGTATTAGACATGAATGGGTGAGCATTCCTATTTCTAAACTTGAGAAACTGGTCTCCTCTGTCCCCAGACGTCTGTTGAGTGTTGTAAGAAGAAGGGGGGATGCCACACAGTGGTAAAAATGGACTTGTCCCAACTTTTTTGGGATTTGTTGACGCCATGAAATTTGGAAACAACAGATTTTCCCCTTTAAATGATACATTCTCTCAGTTTAAACTTTTGATCTGTGATTTGTGTTCTATTCTGAATAAAATATTAGATGTTGGCACCTCCACATCATTGCATTCAGTTTTTATTCACAATTTGTTTAGTGTCCCAACTTTGTTGGAATCCAGTTTGTACTTGCAGACCATATATGCTGCTGTTTTCTCTTTAAAATGATTTTGTTTTGACCGTATCGTCGGCTCCACATCATGTATTTCCTCTCATGAGTGTGTTGTTCAGCCCCAGGTCCGGGTGAAGGAACCAGCAGTGGAGAAACGCCACAGGTGCCACGGAAGAAGCGGACTCGGGTTGATCCCACTGTGGAGAGTGTAGGTGTCTTCAATTTGCTTAAAGCGCCTAGATGCATGCACTACAAATACAAAAAGTGGAAGAAATCATTTTAATATTTAAGAAATTTGGCATAATACGCACAATTTTACCCATTTTTGTCACATAAGTGCCATGTCTTCTTTTGAACTTGGTGCAACCAAAGTGAAACAGGAAGTGACATCAAAGGGAACCCCTTGCTTTATTTATTGAAACAATATTTGAACTCTGACTCTTGTTCTCTTTCTGATAGAGACACACAAATCTAAAGAGACATCAGATTCTTCTCTACTGTCTGTGCTGTCAGCCATTGTAGCCATGCTCTGTTCACATGCAGGCGCTCCCCTTTGTCATCACTTCCTGTTACTGCACATGCAAATATCAAATTTATGATTTTTTTTTCAATACGTTATTAATGTTATCTTTCCAAAAATGCATTCATATTGCTTACAAACATTTTATGCCACAGGCGCTTTAAAGTCTCAGCATGATTCATATGTGTCCATGTGTAACGATGAAGACTTTTCTTAAAGCAGCTGTTTGATCATGTTCCAGTAACAGTGGAGCACGCCAGCTTTTAGTTCTGAGGCTTTTTGTCTTGTTCAGGACATAAAAATATGATAATCAAGTTATCCTTATCAGATTTTAAACAAGTAAATGCAATCTTTGTTGAACAATTGAGATTAAAATCCATTCTGTTTCTGTTTTTCCAAGCCCCGCCTCCTCCAAAGTGACATTTCATTTTGAAACGTTTTATGTAACAAATTGGACTTGGAATTGGACTCTCTTGATGCAGCTGTAGAGTTCCTGCTGTGTTTAGGCTCATTGTCCTGTTACATAACCAAAACTTCAGCTGTCGGACAGATGACCTTGTGTTGGACTCTAACATATATTAGTATACAGTAGTCCCTCGTTTATTGTGGGTATTGGGTTCTGGAGCCCTCTGCAATAAATGAAAATTCGCTAAGTAAAGACATGTTTAGTTTAGCCTGACCTCAGCGTGAACTTTGAGAGTTTGATTTCTAAAAAGAAATGACAAGAAAAAGTCTTTTGATCTGTTCCCAGAATGAAGGATGGCAACATTTACTTCATATATTATTCATATATTCCATCCATCCATTATATTTACCCGCTTCTTCCCTTTTATTTATGATATATTTTCTCCTTGTTTATTTTTTGTTGTTGAATGCTGCAGATGAAGAAACCTCAAAAGTGTCTTCTTTTATAAAAGTTCTCCTAGTGGAGGATGATTCATCAGTAAACTTGATTTGCAGAACTTGTCTGCTACCGTCTTATTTTTGTAAGGAACCTGTGTATATTCAGTTTTTCCTTATTTTTCATCTTCATTTATGTGAAAAAAATATGTTTTACTCAGTTTTAATATAACTAGATGACCATTTCCATCCATACATTATCTTTACCTGCCTCTTCTAAATGTTTGAATTTTAGATTTGAAGAGCTGTACAAATGTTTCACAATGACTATATACAGCTGATGATGTGTGTGTGAATATATTTTCATCAACATGTCCAAAAGACAATTTGATCTTCTTTGAAGAGATGTAAGTGAAATACTATATACATATATATATATATATATAT